AAAAAATGAGGAATTTCAAATAGTTAATTTGATACTAATATCGATATATTTTTGTAAAATTTTTATGATATCTTTAAACATATATTTTATTCAAAAATAAAAACATCATCGCTTTCTCAAAATCACATAAAACCATATTATAACATATACTGAGATGAAGAATAAAATGAAATATTAAAATCACGATGTATCTCGCTGCATTGCGCGAGTACGCTTCTAGTATAAATGTGTGTGTGTGTATGAATGAGAATGTTTTAAACGGATAACACTTTTATTTTATAAGAACACATTTTTACTACAGTTAATCACATGTGATACTATATTCCATCACAAATGACACACACACATACACACACGTGAAAGAAAGTTCCATTAGTAACCCAAAATTGATTAGAAACCCGAGAACCATCCACAACGCGCCAGGTATACTTCTCCAGAATGAATATCTATTGTAAATAACACACTCGTAATAAATTTATGATGAATATGAACATGTTATTTATCATGAATCAGATATTCATAATGAATATAATACAACATTTATTATAAATAAATCTTCATATTTCTGATAAATATGCTATGAGTCGCATTATAAATAGTTTCCAAGTTTTTAATCAAATTTCGACTTGTGTACGTATTATTTAGCAGAGGAGCCACCTTAACGGTGGGCCTGGGCTCTACTAAGATTTTAATTTTGTATAGGCCCAACAGTTGCACATTTGAGAGTTGAGAGCGTACCTTCCTGCTTCCCCGATCGATTACAGTTTACAGCTTCCGCCTTCCATCCTTGCTGTCCGTTCACTCCGCCGCTGCTCCACCGGTCGACAGTCGCTGTCCAGGGCCCCTATCAGCCGGCGCCTGCTACTGCTGCTGCTGTCCGCTCACTCGCTGGTTTTCCTGCTCAGGTCAGCTTCTTAAGATACAATTTATATATGAAACCAAAATATAGTATTTGTTGACCGAAAATTCTAAAATTGTCCACGGTTTTGTTATGCAGGAGATTAAAAGGAAAGAGAAATACCTTTGAACCCTAATTCTGTGTCTGTAGCTCTTGCCATCCGAAATCATTAGTCCCTTCGCTGTATACACTTACATTACCCC